AGGGTTTTTAGAGCTCATTAGGAGCTACAAATGATAAATATTCCAATACAATTTGCTCAACGGTTACCAAGCCATTGAGGTTTGAATATTTTGAAATCAGAATTCAAAGGGGTATCGGTACCCTTATGAAAAATTTGACCCTGACATCATTTTCAAATGGCCATTTTCAGCAAAAACAAAAATAAAAAGGAAATCCTATTTTTGGCTCTGGAAAATTTTCAAAATCTTGACATGGTCATGAGCAATTGCCCATATCTTTGTTGAATTTTGAGTAAATTAAAACAAATTATGTACCATTGGAAAGAGCATTAAATTCTCTATAAATCCGTGCAAAGTTGAGTTTGATAGCTCATGAGCAATTGAGTCTCAAAGTTGATTTTTAGTCCAAATTTTGCCAAAAACTTCAAACTCAATTTTCTCCAAAAACTATAAGCCTGGGAATATTGTAAATTACAGGGTTTTTAGAGTTTAATAGGAGCTACAAAGGATAAAAATTTCAATGGAATTTGCTCAACAGTTACCGAGCAATTGAGGTTTGAATATTTTGAAATCAGAATTCAAAGCGGGTACCCTTATGAAAAACTCGATTTTTTTAGTTTTCAGTTTTGCTCAATTTTGACTTTACCAATCGATAGAGTGGGTTAAAATGAGTGAAAAACAACCCTGACATCATTTTCAAATAACCATTTTCAGCAAAAACAAAAATAAAAATAAAGTCGTATTTTTGGCTCTGGAAACTTTTCAAAATCTTGACATGTCTTGAGCAATTGCCCATATCTTTGTTGAATTTTGAGTAAACTGAAACAAATTATATACCATTGGAAAAAGCATTAAATTCTCTATAAATCCGTGCAAAGTTGAGTTTGATAGCACAGATAGTTTTTGAGCAATTGAGGCTCAAATTTTATTTTTAGTCCAAATTTTGCCAAAAACTTCAAACTCAATTTGCTCGAAAACTATTAACCTGGGAATATTGCAAATTACAGGGTTTTTAGAGCTTATTAGGAGCTACAAATGATAAAAATCTCACTGCAATTTGCTCAACGGTTACCGAGCAATTGGGGTTTGAATATTTTGAAATCAAAATTCAAAGGGGGTACCCTTATGAAAAACTCGATTTTTTTAGTTTTCAGCTTTGCTCAACTTTGATTTTACCAGTCGATATCAAAATAAGTAAAAAACAACCCTGACATCATTTTCAAATGGCCATTTTCAGCAAAAACAAAAATAAAAAGTAAATCCTATTTTTGGCTCTGGAAAATTTTCAAAATCTTGACATGGTCATGAGCAATTGCCCATATCTTTGTTGAATTTTGAGTAAATTAAAACAAATTATGTACCATTGGAAAGAGCATTAAATTCTCTATAAATCCGTGCAAAGTTGAGTTTGATAGCTCAAATAGTTTTTGAGCAATTGAGTCTCAAAGTTGATTTTTAGTTCAAATTTTGCCAAAAACTTCAAACTCAATTTTCTCCAAAAACTATAAGCCTGGGAATATTGTAAATTACAGGGTTTTTAGAGTTCAACAGGAGCTACAAATGATAAAAATTTCAATGGAATTTGCTCAACAGTTACCGAGCAATTGAGGTTTGAATATTTTGAAATCAGAATTCAAAGGGGGTACCCTTATGAAAAACTCGATTTTTTTAGTTTTCAGTTTTGCTCAATTTTGACTTTACCAATCGATAGAGTGGGTTAAAATGAGTGAAAAAGAACCCTGACATCATTTTCAAATAACCATTTTCAGAAAAAACAAAAATAAAAATAAAGTCGTATTTTTGGCTCTGGAAACTTTTCAAAATCTTGACATGTCTTGAGCAATTGACCATATCTTTGTTGAATTTTGAGTAAACTGAAACAAATTATATACCATTGGAAAAAGCATTAAATTCTCTATAAATCCGTGCAAAGTTGAGTTTGATAGCACAGATAGTTTTTGAGCAATTGAGGCTCAAATTTTATTTTTAGTCCAAATTTTGCCAAAAACTTCAAACTCAATTTGCTCGAAAACTATTAACCTGGGAATATTGCAAATTACAGGGTTTTTAGAGCTTATTAGGAGCTACAAATGATAAAAATCTCACTGCAATTTGCTCAACGGTTACCGAGCAATTGGGGTTTGAATATTTTGAAATCAAAATTCAAAGGGGGTACCCTTATGAAAAACTCGATTTTTTTAGTTTTCAGCTTTGCTCAACTTTGATTTTACCAGTCGATAGAGTGGGTCAAAATGAGTGAAAACCAACCCTGACATCATTTTCAAATGGCCATTTTCAGCAAAAACAAAAAAAAAAGGAAATCTTATTTTTGGCTCTGGAAAATTTTCAAAATCTTGACATGTCTTGAGCAATTGCCCATATCTTTGTTAAATTTTGAGCAAATTGAGATAAATTAGGTACCATTGGAAAGAGCATTAAATTCTCTATAGATCCGTGCAAAGTTGAGTTTGATAGATTAAAAAGTTTTTGAGTAATTGAGCCTCAAAGTTGACTCTTTGTCTAAATTTTGTCAAAAACTTCAAACTCAATTTTCTCAAAAACTATAAACCTGGGAATATTGTAAAATACAGAGTTTTTAGAGCTTATTAGAAGCTATACATTTCAATGCAATTTGCTCAACGGTTACCGAGCAATCGAGGTTTGAATATTTTGAAATCAGAATTCAAATTCCTAAATTTCCTGAGATTGTGGTTGATATCAAGCCTGATTTGAATTAAAAGGAAGATAAAAAACCTCACGAGCAGTTATTGAAAGAAGTGACAGAGACTTCAGAATCTGCTCTCTCTAAACCTCCTACGGATATTTTTGATATTAAGCCTAATCTTGAAGTAAAGCTAGAAAAACGTAAAGCTGAGTAGAGGATGTTTGGAAATCTCATCCCTATAAATTCCCTGACCTTCTAGTTGATATCAAACCTGATCTTGAAAAACCTGATCTTGAATTAAAGGAAGATGCATCTGAAGCAGAATCAATAGAAGAGATGTCAGAGACTCCTCTCTTCAAATCTCCTGATCCTGTCATTGATATCAAAGCTAATCTTGAATGAAAAAAATGAAAATTATCGGAGCTAGTTCACCTAATCTGAAACATATCGAAGCCAAAGGTCTCAGGAGGAGATACTTATACAAACTAAATCTAATGGAGAATCTCAAGGCGAAATTTAGGAGCGAGTACCTGAGACAGTTAAAATTGTTTTCGACTAAGAAAAACACATCGTTTAAACTGAATGTTGACCATAGAGTATTTTTAGTAAACGCTAATCTAGAGAAAACAGATTGGCTTCTCAGAAGAATTATCAGGCTCATACGAAGCAGAGATGGAAATGTACGTGTTGTAGAAATAAAAACAGCTTCAGGGGATCTGGCCATTGGAAATAGGAAATTACCCTTTTCTTGTTGTTCTCAATAAATTGTCAATAGTAATATAACTAGTGCAATGGAAATTATTGATAATTTTTGGGAAATTTGCCCGAATGGATTTTTGTTGAAAAAGAGCACGAGTGCACGTAGTGCACAAGTGCCTTTTTCAGTTGAAAATGCATGAGTGCAAATTTGTCGAAAATTATAAATATATTTCCATTGCACGAGTTGTATATAATGAGAGAATTTCATAAATCAAAAATTTAAATTTTTTGCCAAAAAATGTCAAAACACCAGTTTTCGCACCAGTTAGTATGCAATTATCTGATAGTTTGCACTAGTGCAAATTATCGCGTAATTACAATCTGATTGGTTCAAATCAACAATCAAAACATGTCAATTTATTGTTGGAATACCAGTTTTGACAGATGTATGAAATTCTCATTGTAATTTTTAGAGTTGTCAGTGTTATAGAATAAAAGTTTATTCTTCTTATATTTCTCATTGTGAGGGTGCCATCTATGTTCCTTTGATTATCTCGAATCACTGGGTAGGGGCTTTGGAGATTTAACAACATGCTTTCTCTCTAAATCTCCTTGATATCAAGCCTGATCTTGCATGGAATCATTGAAAGAAGTCATGGAGACTAAAATATCCTCTCTTTAAATTTACTGGGTAGTTGATATCCAATCTGATCTTGAATTGAAGGAATATACCTCTCAAGCAGAATCAATGAAAGAGGTTTCCGAGACTTTAAAATCTCATCTTTTTCGAAACTTTCCGAGCAACCACAAGTTGAAATATCATAATAGTTATTAATGATACAAGTTCGATATGAACGCCATAATGAAACGCGTGTAACGTTAAACCACGAGGCATTAGCCGAGTGGTTTAGTTACACAAGTTTCATTAATAAAGTTCATATCGAACGTGTATCATTCAAAATTTAATCTACAATGGTTCAAATAGATTTGATTTGCCTTGAAATAGCAAAAACTTTTCAAATTAAAATTTGAAATTTAGCAGGTGCCCGTACAAGTCGAGAACCTGCTTGTTGGTTTTTAGAATTTTGACTTTGGCAGCTTCAATATTGGAGTCCATTTTTGTGCCATAAATTTAATTTTATGGTGGAAAATAATATTATTATTGGTGAATCTGAGTTCGAAAGTGTCTCTTCGAATATAGAGACAGCATTATTGAAAAGGTTCTTCTGGCAACTAACTTTCTTTTTGTATATTTTTCATTTCAAAATTTGGGTGTTATTATGAATTCTTAAACGCACTAGTGCTATTATGAAGGTCCTAATGACATTCAAATGACAATGCTAAATGTGTCATAATGACACCGACGTAGATTAAATATATAATAGAACGATATATTCAATACCACTGAAGCACACATGCAGTACCACTTACCGTATTTTATTTTCCTCCTTTGTAGAGAATGCAAACTGCTTCACATGCAATATGGCAGCGTGCAAATCTATTCTATTATAAATAGTACAGTGTTCTACTTATACAATTTTATTCGTATATTGCGTTTAGCAAACTTTTACTGTTGGCTCATTGATGGCGCTAGTTATGTCTAATAATTTATTTGAATGACTGGGTACTTTATAATTAATTATTTTATTTTTTCCAGCTACCGTTTATGGGAACATGCAACGAAAAGGTAAGTAATTTTTTTCTAATTAGATTTATTAGGTTTTAATTATTGTAATTTGCACCAATAATTTCCAAATAGGTATGTCAATATTTGGATAATAGTAGCTACTACTAATTGCTGGTTTGAATAAAAATGACTAGTAGAGTAGGTACTATTTCACAAAATAGCCTCTTTCTTGGGTGTTTCATTGAAATTTTGCTTCAAAAATGCCTTTTATAGGCAAATACATGGATTATTGACATTAATATTCATTGGACAAGCAAAGTGATACATCCTCCATATTAGTTGCTTCAACTAACTAGGTAGGTACTTGTGAGGTAAAATACCTTCAGCACAAATTTTGCTCAGGATCAGGTGGAGTTTTTTGCTCTCAATATGATATTCTCCTAATTAAAAACTGAAAGTTTTCTAGCAATAAATAAATCCAAAGAAAACGTTCCGATTTCTTTACACGAGCCCTGGTAGTAGTAGCATAAATCAGCCAGCAAACAACTTCTAACATGGAGCGATCACATGTAAACCGAGTGATCGCTGCTGTTTTATGTTTTATACACATTTTATAAAAATTATGTTTATTTTTACATCTATATTGCCTTAGCGTTGGAAGACGATCAAGCGGAGAAACGGATGGCTTTTATTATATTAGCTTTACAGGAACGGATTAACAGGCTATTTTCGTTATTTATACAATTTGTGTAAGTTGAACCTTCATTTTAAACCAGACCAATTGAGATTTTACACTATTGACACACATCAATCCTCAATAATTTCTTATATTGACGACGTCACCTGAATCTTTAGTTCAGACTTCTCAGTTCTTCTGCATTCTTTGCAATGGACATGTGGATTATTATTCCACAAATTACAGAGTACAGCTTCTTCTTTTCCTGGAACTGGTAAGTGAAGTACAGTTTCTTCTTCGCTGGCATCAAGGGAACTAGTCAAAGCCTTGTTGTCTTCTGTGGTGTTGAGAAATATTAGTGTCTAACCCATTTTCTGACGGCACAATATATTCTATTCTAATAATGAAAAACAAAACTGATGATGAATTGTTGTCTGTTATTAAATAACAACATACTATATTACGTACCAGGTAGAGGTGGTTTGTTTAAATAAAATTCTGCCCTTCACAGTCACAAAATTATAGTGCGGCCCTGCACAAAAATTAATTTTATTAGTCAAGTCGTTGCCCTCGATTTTGAAAAAAAACTTTTTATATTTATATCTCGGCTTTGGCCGTCCGTGTACATTAGACACACACAATATCTTTTAACGATGTAAACAAGGGTATGCCATCAGGGGGGTTGGTTGGTGGTAAATCAAACCATATTTATCAATAATCCGGATAATTGCTGTTTATCTCTCGGCAAAGTTTATCATCTCAGGATAATGAACAATTTACATAATATATAATCAAGAGTTCGGTTTTTGGTTTATACTGGAGACGCCCTGTAGTTTTTTTTTCTAAGAAAGGCTTATGCAATAACGCAATCGGTTGCATATTATTCCAGCATTATCAAATCGGGTATTTAGGCTTTAAATTTAATGGAAAAAATACATATATGATTAATTTATTGCTGAATAACAATAATAGCTATTACGACATTATTATTTATATCAAGGCTCAAGGCTTTAGGAGGACACTTCTATTATTGCAGACAAGTATTAAAAAAAAACTAATTCTTCTCTGTCAAGAAAAATAGCTCAAGCAAAGTTGAGTCAATATTATAACCAACCCTATTATTGTTTACATTTCCAATTGGAGCAAAATGATCCTTGACATCCAAGGATAATGATAATTAGGTAGCATCAAATTTTTAAAGTTCATCCTTGATTCTTGCATATGACACTGCTACTTTCTATTCTAAAACGTTTTATGTTGAATGAATCAGTTGGGTGGGGTGGAACCAAAAAAACAAACAAACACCACACGTGTATGATATATAGCGGAGGTCAACCATGTTTGTAAATGTTTTTAAATGAGGGACTATAGTGCGGACAATTTCAGATTTTAAAGGAGAGCTTATGCGTATTTTTACGTGTCGCGAGCTTAGGATTTTGAGAAGTTTTGTCAATGTTTTTAGCATATGATTTAAGACAATTTGAATACGCCATTTGTGCACGACTTCCACTAAACGCTTTCAAGTTTTTCCAATTGGACATCGTAGCAATCCAGTTGAGAAAGATCTTGGCCATTAAGTTCAAACACCAAAAGTTGTTTTGAACTGTATGGGTTAGGATATGTCATGAGCTTTTCACAGCTGAAGCGATCTTGATCATGTCCATTTTTTCAGTTCCAGACATCTTCTTTCTTGTTAAATTTATTTATCGATGTTATTCATGCCGCTGATTCTCCTTTTATGATTTCAGTGTGTTTTCAAATTTTTCCCTACGCACTATAAATTGATAGTAGTGAAGCTTCACTCCTTTCTTGAACAAGAACAAACTTTCCTCATTTAAACTTGGCCCTGTTTGATTTCAGAACTCTATGATCACTGAAACATCTTCATCTTCTACTCTTTACGTTAAAAGGGAGCCTGTTTCATGTTTTGCTATGCTGTTTGGGTGATGTTTATGCGGTACTTTCTATTGGTTCCTTTATTGAAGAAACCATGAACAGCATAGAGCTTCTGTAGTTCTAGATATTCATAGAGCCTCCTTTCTCGTTTCTGGAGCCGGTATCCGTTGTTGCAAATCTTTTATTTCTGTATTCGGAGTCCTTCTAATTTGATGCCCAATTCGCCCATGATACCAGTTTTTGTCGTTCTGCCTTAATGTATAAATGATGTGGCCGTTTGTAACTGTTCAAAGGAAGTTTCTAGATCTTTTATTGATTTATTTAAAGTAATATACGGGATACCCCATTTATAAATTCACATTTCAAAATAAAGATAACAACAATTATAACTAGACTGAAAATAATAATAGTACAGTGTACAGTCATACAACATACAAGGATTCGTTTACTGAAAAAATCCGAGTGAGCCTAAATTTTGTCTACATCTTGATTTTACCTCAATAATTAATGTGTTAAAAGTCCCCACCGATATCTTGTCTGCGTTCCAAGATATTCAAGGTCAGATATCACAGAAATGAGTTTTTCTTAAATATTTTGCTTTCGGCATGTCCTTGGCTAAAAATATTGGGAAATTCTCTTCAAAAAATGTTATTCATATATTTTACGTCATACCAACCGTTTCCACCTGATACGCCAGAAAAACAGAGGGTAGCACCCGTTTCCACAACACCCCAGACGTGATATGCAAGGCGCGTTTTTTTTGTACATTGTATTTTTACTGTAGGCCTAATCCATGATCTTTCTTGTTGTGACTTTTAGATTTAGAATGTGCGATTTTTATTCTCGTAATCTGTCCCCTCTTTCACGACGTACAAATGTTAACATTATATGCAGCATCGGCCCATAATGCATTTGTACCGTTGTACCTGGCTCCGAAATACCGCGCCCCGCACGGAAAAGAGTTGGGTAGTGGGTAGACTTATCAGGACAAGTCTCGGCTGTACAGACAAGTCCAGCAGGATAACCGCAATCCCTATGTCCTGGTTGAACGTACGGACATAGATGAGTTATACTTTCTACCCCGCTGAGACACGCGATTCTGAATTTGTCGCTAGAAGCTTTCGGGGACTGGTGCTGAACCTAGGGCTTTTTTTTTTTTTTTTTTTTTTTTTTTTTTTTTTCTGCTTTCTTGTCAGAAACCACCACTGTGGTTTGTCGACAAAGCCTCCAACATCACACACAAACCAAATCAAACAAACAAACAAACATCCATGCACCTAGCCGGGATTCGAACCCGAGACCCACTGCATGCAAAGCGAAAACACAACCGCTGAGCTGCTTGGGTCTGCTTATTTCTTCAATAGTTGTTTTATTCCTTTATCTGCTTATTGGTCCCTAGTTTTTCTTTCTCCACTGTAATAAGCTACCTGGTGCTAGTGGGCCCTCAACCACTATAATCTTAAGGGTGGCGCTCGAGATTACCGCCAACCAAAAGATAAATACCGACTGTTAAGCTGCCACAGCTCAAGGAAAACCCGTTACAAATTTGGCGCCCGAGCAGGGATCATTTTACGCATCAGCAACTGACCGTAAAGATTACGTCATCATCCGTCCCCCGTTTCACCGAGAGGCCGTTTATTTTGAAATCGACCGATGTGTTGACCGTTACATCGTGGTATATTTCTTCATGGATTCTTCAGAAGCAACGGCGCTGCTTGGTGTTACTATTTTAATAAGCCACATAATGTGAAGCATGTTGTGGCCATCTATTTGTGTAGACATTGATATCTGCATTGTCTGCTGAATACTGAATAAGAGCACCAGTTTCAAATGATAGAATATCTGGTTAGGTTGTGGATGGTAGACAGCAGCAACTTCATACATTAATGTTTCTCTATACGACGCGCTGAATCCAAGAGTTGACAAAATATCTGGAAAAGGTTAGACGTGAAGGATCGTGCACGTATCGTAGCCATAATAGCATGACAAATAGCGGTACACTTACACTTAAGATGGTCAGTTTTGCCTTTTTTGTTTTTCAGAATTAATTCTTCAATAAAGTATGAAAGGCTCTGTGGGATATTTTCGTTGAGATCATGAAACATTCTACTGGGAGGAGGATAAGATTGATAATCAACAGTCATGAAACGAATGTCTTCTCTGATAATTTTGGTCACAGTTTGTACAATTCGAAGGCGTTCTTTTGCCGGTTGAGATTTCTTCGATTGACTGCAAATAAAACAAGACTCATCCATCGCAATGGCTAATTAAATCACAAAACGAAACGTCTAGACTTCTTGCCAAATAGATTTGAATTGACTTACATCGATTAAATGCGATAACCGGTCGATCATAGTTAACAGATAAGCAAATGTCATTTGGCAACCAATCGTTATTAAATGACGTTCATGACTTTTGACCTTGAATATCTGAAAACGCAAGCGCGATATTGATGGAGACTTTTAAGACATTATTTCTTGAGATAAAA